ACTTTCCACTGCTGCTATATGATTCTACATTCCTATATGCAATGCATTAAAGTTCCTTGTAGCTTTTTGTTTTGATGGGAACATTAATTTTTCCAGGGGATAAACTTTTCACATTTTTCTCAAGTAGCTACCACATTTATCTGTGCACGTTTCCTCTTTACATTCACCTAGGTATATTGTTACTATAGCAACACATAGATTTTGTTTATTTCTAGATCATTTTCTACCTTGGCCTTCATAGTGAGCACTCCAACAAAACATCAGTTATCTTGAGGACAAAATTTAAATTAATATTCAATATTAATATCACAAATCTTTGATTTCTTTTTATCTTGTGGTCCTCATCTCTTCTTGTTTTATCCAACTACTTCTAAGGTGAAACTGTAAATATCATTATTGCTCAGAACAGAGTGCTTCACTTCTGAAATCTTTTTTTTTTCTTCTTTTTTTTGAGACAGTTTCACTATGTAGCCCAGACTGGCCTTGAACTCACAAGGATCCTCGTCTCAGGGTCTCAAGTGACAGGATTACAGATAAGTGCCACCATGCCCAGTTCACTTCTGAAATCTTAACTAGCAATGTTCCATTTTCTATTACCTATCCATTCAGCTTTTGAATTTTCCCCATTCCTATTCAATTTATTATCAAATTTCCTTAAAATTTATGATTTCTTGATTCTTTTTTCTCAGCTTATTTATCCCTTAAAATTATTCCTGATCTATTTAGTTTATGCTATCATTAATCACCTCAATAACCCTTTTGCTAGTAGCCTCAAAGTCTTGGTGCTGCATTGTTTTTGCCTTGGAAATTTGTAATCCCAAATCATTATAATCTTCTGTGATGCTACACAAAAACAATCACATGTATTAAATTATGTACAAAAATCATACAAAAAAGAACCCTTACAATTTTTTATTTTTACTGGTACATGTTTAAAGTACATAATGATTACATTTCTTGTGGAGAGTTGGTCCATGTACATAGCACGTCTTAATTCTTTTATCATCCCCTTTGCCTTCCTTTCCCTTCTCCCTCCATTTCTTGGGCATTTCTCTTTTGCAAAAGACTTATCTATTTCCTACAGGTTTCTTTTGTATAAGAAACTTAAAATGTAAACAGAGAGCAAAGTAAAGAACCCGTAAAAATTTTTGGCAGCTACCCTAGCTAGACCTCAGGTTCGCTTGACGTGGGTCTTTTTCTCACCTGTATCCAGTTCTCCTTCCTCTTCACTGGCTGTTCTAACTCCTCTCAGTCCTGGCAGAGTCTCCTGACTCCTCATGTTGAGAAGCTCACACTGACCTGTGTTTACAGGGTAACCTGCAATCATATTCGCAGCTATTCTTACCTGCTTTATGTCTCTCTGTGACCACACTTCGACTATTTGCTTGTCTAAGATGAACTCTTCTACAGACAACCTTAAATTCTGTCTCTTCCACCTTCTTTGGAATTTCTTTTGACAACATTTCTACTGGCTCCTTTCAATTAGTCACAAGGCTCAAGAATTTGCCATTTTTCATAAACAGAAAATAAAAATTCATAAGCTATCTTCTCTTTTCACTCTCTCTCACTCTCACTGTCACTCTCTCTTACTCTCTCCTTTTTCCTCTCTCCTTCTGTCTTCCAATCTCCAAATCTCTCATACTCTCTCTCCTTATCTATGTCTCTCTGGATCTGTGTCTATGTGTCTGTCTCTCTCTGATGTGTGTGTGTGCGTGTGTGGTTCTATGTGTCTATGTGTCTGTCTCTCTCTGATGTGTGTGTGTGCGTGTGTGGTTCTATGTGTCTATGTGTCTGTCTCTCTCTGATGTGTGTGTGTGCGTGTGTGGTTTGAACCCAGAGCCTTTGCACTGAGCTATATACTCAGCCTCTTTAATTTTTTAATTTTGAAATATGGTCTCACTAAGTAAGCCGGGCTGGGCCTTCTGATCCTCCTGCCCTAGCTCCATTACAATCTTTCTTATGTTTCTTTAAGGACTATTCTATTGTCTAAACTGCTATATATCTTTACCTCCTAATTATTCTTAAATTTGCAGAGAACTGGTTTCTATATCTAATACTCTATTAAAACTATTTTTTCAGAAAGCAAATTTCATAAGCAAAATTCAAACACAAAAGATTCTTTTAGTCCTATGTTAAAAACTTAGCAATACTTGATTCTTTTTTTTCCTGTTTGGAACCCTTTTATTGGTTTCAATAATACTCTTCAATTCACAAAAATCTTGTTTTAAGAAAATTTATCTTAACACAGGCTGAGCACAATGAAGCAAGTACAATACTGTACTAAAAGCCACACATATTTAACCCATCTGAAGTAAGTACTACAGTTCTCACCTTAAAAATGAAATAGACTTGGCAAAGTTCATTCATGTAACACCACACCATATGTGGCCTAACTCCAAATACCAGATGCTTTACTACATAATTACCAATTTTCGTAAAAGTAGTAATTATAAGGTTACTCGTAAAGAATATCTTTGATACAGTAATTGTTAATCCTGCTTAGAAGAGATTATACAACTCTTAGATTCATGTAGATTTTTAAAATGGTTATGAAAAAATATTTGAAAAATAATATTAGAAAAATAATATTAGAAAAATAATTTGACAGTCTTTTGTAACTCAGCATAGAGAAGGAGCCTTAAGAAATGGCATCAAAGTTTATTTTCAGGAAGTAATGCTAGGTCATGCAAATTATCATTTAACTTTTGGAATTCTTGGATACTCACTCCATCAACATAACTCACAAAGACTGTGGAGCTGGTGCCATAAAAACTCTTTGTAACAATAAAGTAAATCTACTTTCCATACTGTAATATCCAGGATCAGGACACAAATTACTCAATATTCATGAATCTTAATATAGACCTCTTTTTATTATTTTACCAAGGAGAGCCTTTAACTTAATCTAGCTAACTAAACATACTTGTGAAACATAAATTCTCAAACTTGGCCATGTATGCGAACTTTTAGGGGCTTTACTACATGGTGATGCCTAATATCATTGACCTGTGTTGGGCTGGGAACCAGAATTTTTAGAGGCTTGCCAAATGATTCTAACAGAAGCTACAATTCAGAATAACTGGTATAAAGAAGGCTTTATAGTCTAAAACAAACAAACAAACAAAATGCTTGGTAAGTTGTATGCTTTCATTGTCAGAATTTGCCTACCTGTATATAGACAAAGCAGTGTCACTTCTAAATACTGATTGCTACTAGTCAGTGATAACTGATAACTGTATTAAATTCCTAAAGTTGCTGTAAAAAGTATTATAAATACTGCTTAAAGCAATGGAAATTTAACTTCACCCAGTTTTGGATACTAGAATTCTGAAATTGTTTCAACTAAGCTATGCTCTCTCTGAGAGCTATAAATGAAATCCTTCCCATCCTCTCCTAGTGTTCAGTTTGCTGGCAATCTTTGGCACTCCTTGGCTTGGACATGCATTACGGCAGTAACACAACTGCTCTCATACTCTCTTCCCCTTCTGCATGTCTGCCTCCGTGTGCAGATTTCCAATATTTCCACAAGCACATAGTCATACTGGATTAGAAATTACTCTCATGATCTCAGTTGAATATGAGTGCCTCTCTAATGACCCTATTTCAAAATTAGGTCACATTCTGGGAGTTACAAGTTCAGGATATCTTTGGGGGGAAGAAAGGGAGAAAGGACATAATTTTATCTATGACAGTAGCCAATTATTGCAAATATCAGGGATGCCTCTCCAAAACAGGTGTTCTTAACTTGGGAATGGGAAAAACATTCACTGAAAAGAATCACTGATTTTCATGGAAGTACAATGTTCTGTACCATTATAAGCACAGTAACAAACCACAGGGTAGTATAAGTGGTCCTTATTAGTTTGAAGCTACACAAGTCACTGGTATTTTCATGTTGCATTTTAGTATTTTAATTATCACAAACATAATATTAATAATAACCACTAGATTGAAACTATAGTTACAGATCTGCTGCTACATCTAGTGACTTATTACATTGATAATGATGCACATCTGCAAGAATATATTGTTATATAATACTTTCATAGTTTTATTATAGGAAAACAATTTAATTGCAGAGTAGGCATTGAAAATTCTGAGAAGAGGTCTAAATATTTGAAAACTTTCAATAACTTATAGTCTCAGTTTGACTTGAGACTTTTTTAAACATAGTAATCAAAAAACATACAGAGAGCCTTATATATAGTGTTGTTAAGCTTTTATAGCATGACCCATGATGAAAAATTACATTTTACATATAACCCAATATGCAGTCGTGTCTCTCTCACATATACACAACACAAAACTAAAAGACCACAAAACAATACAAGGTAGGCACTGTGGCATTTTCTATTCTAGTTTTCTTCATTTTAAAAATGCCAGTTTTAACTCACTGAATTCATTTCACAACCTCACATGAAACATAAATTAAGTAAGCCCGTTGAAAATCTTTTAATAATATTTCTTTAGAAATGTCTCACAGAGGGGGCTGGGGATTTAGCTCAGAGCATAAGCACCTGCCTTGCAAGCAGGCAGTCATGAGTTCAATCCCTGGTACCGATAAAAAAGAAAAAGACAAAAAAAAAAAAAAAAAAAAAAAAAGAAAAGAAAAGAAATGTCTCACAGTATATTATAATAGGAAAAGCATTATTACTGCTACTCTATTATTTAAAAATATATGTCATTATTTTAGAGGTGGAAATTAGACAGGCAGCAATTTAACAGTTCAATAGAAAATTGGTCTTCATTCAGATAGCTAGTAACAAGTTATAAAAATTTTTAATTTGAATGGGAGTATAAATTTAAATTGTACCAAATGACAGAAGGAAAAAAGGTACAATAATATTTTATGCATAAATCAGCCTAAAAATATAAAAATGCTTTGAATACATAATGTTAAATTTCATAAAGGTAGTTTACTCACCTGCTATTATAAAACCAGGTAGAAACATTTTAAAAATTAGTAATATTTACTTAACCCCAAGGTAAAAATAATTTACCTGTAGTAAACTCGTAGTGTCTGAATTTCTTCTTCCAGTTTCTTATATTGTTCAACTGCTGTTTCTTTTGCTTGATGCAATGACAACAAATTTGCCTGCATGTAATTGATATGTTTTGAAAATACAGTATTAGTTCTTTTTGTAAAAATAGACTAGTACAGTATGAATAGGAGTCGTGCATTTCTGTTAGTTCAAAAACCTATAATATTTTTTGTAGTGTCACAATTTCTCACAAAATAGTTCAAACATCTTAATGACAAAAATGCTAAAGTCAGGAACATGTTAAGTTAACCAACTTTGCTTGTTCCTGAACTTTATCTTTATCTGTATCATCAGATATAGGGCCTTCTGCAATGTTTAACTTTATGCACAGAATTCAGAATGTGGAACACAGGTTTGGAGCAGTATCTGCAGCAGAGATAAGCACAGTGGAGTGTTTCAGGCACAGATGTAATGTGGCTCCACTGCCTAATCACACTAGATTTTCTTTTAACTTTATTAATACTAAAACACAGAAAATGCTAAATATGTTGTTAAACTATCTTTGATAGTTAACATGAAAAATAAGTAAGACTACAATCTGATTCTTACAGATGTGATTTAACCTTTTCTATTCCTTTTTTGTTGAGAAACAATGCCTAAAGGGAGAATGGCAGCAACCTTGAATGTTAGAGACACTGCATTTAAGAGATGCTACTCATCCTAACAGCCATATTCAAGTTTTAAAGCATAAGAAGTCAGATTTTAAAAAGTTAGATTAATTGTTTTCTAATACACAAATACATAAATTATACCTATTAATGGGTAACATTATATTTTGAAAATATATAAATTGCATAATGTATAAATCAGGTTAAACATATCTATAATCTCAAAGATCTCTCATATCTTTATGGTGAAAAACTTTCCACATATTTTCTTCTAGCTTTTTTAGATGTACAGTTCATTATTGTTATCTACAGTGTTTACAGTAAAACTTTAAAAATAATTTGTTGCCTTCCTCACCATCATTTTTGTGGGGATTTAAACACTGTCAAAAAAAGTTTTCAACATAACTTTTTAAACACAGTACTGATAAGTCAGATTTTAGTATTGTTTGTTCAAGGTTTAATGTATAAGAAAAGATTCTTTTTCTTTAAAGGGTGCTTTATATGTAAAACACAGCACAAAGATAATAAACACTCACAAATACCAATAATGAAAAATAACTGAACACTTGGAGATGGAGTTTCAGAATTTTATTGAATATATAAGATTTCACTGGAATTTTTTTCCTAAGAATGCAGCTATATGGAAAATCATAAAATCCTAATTATAGGAAGGTTAATTAGTATAATGAAGATGAACATTAGATAATACTCATTAATGCCACAGAGCTATAAGAATACACAACAGTTTAGATCTTTGAATAGAAGTTTATGCATAAGATATTAATTTGATCCTTATCTGGACTAATAGATTCTAACAGTTATTTTTTAATTAAATTTAAGATGGCTGAACACTTTTTAAAAACATGCTGTATTTCATAATTGATGAAACAAACTAAAAAAAGTAGAAAAATATTTAAAATAAAAAAGTGGTTGGTTCTTTATGTCAATTATTAACTGCATTGCTATTTTTCACTGTAATAAAAGTATGATTGAAATGATAACTTGGAAGTCACAGATACTATGACTAATGGCAAATTTTAAAAGAATCATACAGAAATAGACAGGTTACATTCAACTTAGGAAATCTCAAGCATCCCCAAGCATATCTGTTGCATATATTTAAGGAAATATGCACATCTCAAGCATATCTGTTGCATATATTTAAGGAATATCAAATATTGGACAGGTGATAGAAAAATTGAAAAAGAAATATTGTTAATCATAAATACCTATAAAAAATAAAATATATTCTCAACAAGGGAACTCAATAGTAAAAGCATAAAATATCCTTGAAAATGAGGAGATGATTATTCAGAATTTCTTCTGTAAAGTAACAAAAACAAAATGTCAGAAATGAAAAACCATAAAGGCAATGTTCTCATAGGAAATCACAAAGTGTAGGTTTTGCCTAAAAATTTTCATAACAAAAATGTGATCATGATAACTTTACTTAAATTTTCATGTTTAAGGTAATATCGAACACTCCACTTTTACTCTATGCACAGTCAGCTATGAAAAAAGAAATATCTGAATCATCTGTAGGAAGATGAATGCACCTCGAGACCATAAGATTAAGTGAAACAAATCAGACTCACAAGCATAAATATCACACAGCTTCTCTTAAATGAGAACACAAATTATAAATATAGAACCAAATAAAAGACAGGTAATAAGATTTTTCTCAAATGGGAAGCGGATCAAGAAAATGGAGGGGAGATGGACGAAAGGAGATGAGAAAAGGAATTAAGATGTGTTGAGCACGTGTACCAACTCCATACAAGGAATGTAGCCTTATATAAATGCAAACATGTACTACTAAAAAAGAAAAAAAAAAAAAAGGATTCACATAGTTTCTTAATTCCCAATGTCTAATTTCCTGTGTAGGCCCTTGTGGCTATTTTCAAAGTTATTATAAACTTTCTGCCTTTACAGTCTCCTTTATCAGACATATGTTTACCTGGCCAGCATTATCTTTGTTTGGTAAATATCTTTACCTTGTGTCAAGAATGAATTGTAGCTGCCACTACCTCAGGCCTAAGAACCATGCTGTCTCATCAGAGTATTCTATCTTGCTAGCCCCAGATAGAAACAAATCCTGATGATGTCAGTTGTACTCCTGGTCTCTCTGTACCAAAGACAGATTTGGATCTATTTCTTTGTTTAAGCTTTGTAAGTTTTTACTAGCACATGTTTGTAGGACATAGTGATTACATTTGTTATGGGGAGACTTCCTGGCTAGATAAACACAAATTTTTTTGTGTGTGGGGAGAGGGGAGTGGAATGGAAACTTGGTTAAATTTGAGTTGGATGTCTGTTACATGCAGTGTAAAACATTTTAAATCAAATGTTTTTTATTTCTATTATATTTCCAGATTCATTATTAACATATAATTCCATCTCTACAAGTAAAAAAAATAAATTTCCTATAAAAAACAATAAGGAAATTAGTAACCTTGGTATTTTTCTTATTTTTTCCTACATTCTATTCCCACATTTCTGACACTTTGATAAAAATTGCACACATTTAGGTTATATATAATATAAATATATTTGCATAACAACTAAATTCATGCAGTAAATAAAATTAAAGAAACAGTGTGAGAATATACAATATAATCTCCTAAATCCTACCTCTACTACACACCATTTCTACTGGTTATCTTGCATATCCTTCAAGAAAAGTATCTACATATAGAAAAGAATATATGAATATTTGAAAATAAATACAGATTTATACAAATTGAGAAACTTTCATCTTAGTTAAAAGCCTTCCTTTAAATTAAAAAAAGAAATTTTAGTTCAGTTTAAAAAACAATTCTTTACCCTATCCCATAAATCACACTTAACAGTCACTTTTCCATCTTTCTTTGCCAGCCAGAAAGTAAAATACTTCTATGCATTTGGGTTCATTATTTTCAAGAACATTTTACACTTTTATACAGAATTAATATCTTTATTAACAATACATCATATTGTTTACAGAGTTTTAAACTTTATAGAAGTGCTATTCTTTATATTTCATATAAAACTGCTTCTTGGTCAATTATTCATATTGATATTTGTAATTATTCTTAAAATATTTACCTTCATACATGTCTTTGTGATATCTGTACTTATTTTTATACATTATTATACATACTATGTTAGCATCAGTTTTTTGCTTTTTTCTGATATGCTGGATTGATTTTTCTATATTTCTCTATATACTTTATTGTTTAGAATCTCTATGCACTCTGTCTTCAAACTTCTGACACAATACATTACCATGTATTTTTTTTAGCAGAGTTCATGATAATACAAGATTTCTACATATGATTTTAGATAAATGTTATACAAATGTAATTATTGTCATATTTTAAGGTAAAATTTTATCAAAATAAAGTGTGTATGTAATACTATGTAAGTGTACACATGGATTTATAAAACTAGGTTACTGACTTTTAGTTTACAGAAAGTAAAAATTCATCCATTTTCAGTACACAGTCTGTAAGTTTTGACAAATACAGGAAGTCATGTAACAACTGTCACAATAAAGACTCGGACACAGCCCTTACCTCCAACGGTCCACTGTGCACTGCTGCAGTCAATGGCCTCCCTTTACCCCTACTGCTTGGTGACCACTGATGTGATTTTTGTCCTAGGAGTTCCACCTTTTCTAGAAAGTTGTATAAATGTAATGATGCTTCCAACTGGCTTCTTTTATTTAATGTAATGCTTTTGAGACTCATTTATATCATTGTATGTACCAGTAGTTCATTCCTTTTTTTTCACTGAATAGTATTACATTGCGTTCAGGAACCAAAATTTGAAATTCCATTTACCAACTGATTGACATTTTTATTTTTTCTATTCCTTGGCAATTATTAGTCAGGTATGCAGGTATAAATACCTGCATATATACCATTTTGTGGAGATATTCTTTCATTTCTTTTGAGTAAATACCTAGAAGTAGAACTGGCAGGACTTAAATTGTATGTTTTTATACTTTATAAAGATATTGCTAATCTACAATATCAATGCCAATTGTTGAATCTGTACTATGGGTTGGACACTGATTGCACCAATGCTTGAATATATTACTATCATCTATTCCTGCAAACAAGCTATGAGATACTTCAATTTTCCTTATGCTTCAGGTGATAAAACGTATTTATGGAACTGAAGTAACATAAATACAACAGAGCTACATGACTGTTAGGCTCAAAAACACACATTTTCTCTTTATGCCACAGTATAATACATTGGAAATATACCTATTTCCTTCCAGATGAAACAATATGAGATCAAATAATTTGGTAGAAGAATTACAGACAATATTGTAAGGTCACAGAATAAGCAGAATCTGTTCTCCATTTTCAGTCTACTTTCATTACATCTGAAGTGATTGAAAAAAAAGTTTAACTAATGTTGTGCTAATCTTCTGGTTAAATGTTCCTTTGCACACT